TGGTGGTAAATCTTGTCATTGCTGCCGTGAGACTATACTTCTATTTAATGTATAGGTGCCATTTCATGCAAAGATGAAATGTTTGGAGAGTTGGGCTTACAACCATAAGGATGCAGGTTTTGAGAATTGGCTAATTCATGCGAAGATGAAGGGTGTCTCTATATTTCTGTAGGACAATAACTTGGTGATAGTAGGGTAGATTAGATTGCGAGAGCTACACAAGTGTATGCGATACCAATATATAGTCGTTAAGTTAGCAGTCGTTGATGATCTCATCATCTCAACAGTTTTGTCATCCCAGCTTGTTTCGTACTTGCCTAGCAGTCTTGTAATCCTAGGCTTGTGGATTACTTTTGTTTGAGCAGCTACTGTTTGAGTGTTCTTATGGAAGAAGTCATTTCCTATTTTCAGTGGGCAATCTCCTGAATCACTAAACATCAATACTTGGTGGAAAACTTGAATGTTGTATAGTTGCCAATAGTGCTCGTCACCAATGCAAACTGGGACTTGCATGACTTGTGACCAGAGGAGAGGGAAGTATATAATTTTGTGGTGCTAAAATCATGACACCAATCCGTGATTTTTATTTATTTTTATTTTAATTTTTTAATTTTTTAGGGAAGGCATAAATTTGCGGCGTGAAATTGGAATGAAGTACAATGAATGCGAGATAATGACAGGACAAGTCGTCCTTGGCCCGCAAATGTATTTTCCAGTTTTGCTCAAACACGAGTTACAATGTGGGATCCAGAAGACAATTTTGAAGTGTTGGAAATCAGACAGAGCATGATTAGCCCCGAAAATGGAGTAACCTGTTAACAGCTTACAGTAACGTACACTTAACGTTACCACTTCGTGTTCGATAACTTGCATGCTGACATGAATCTTTATTGCAAGCCCCTAGCAAGATTACATAAAGGTAGCTCTTCCCTCATGGGAAGTTTCCACTATGAGAAATTGAGAATCAAGCATGGAAACTCAATTGAATACACGGGTTCGATCGATCAATTTCATTTCAAATTCAATCTGCATCTTTGCCAACGAAGTTGGTGCATTCGGAAGTCACTTATAGAAGAATCTGCATCTGATTATCAGCATCACCCAAGAATATTAATGCTTGTGTAGCCCAACTCTATGAATTCTTGAAATGGTTTCTGCTTAAAAGAAACTATGATCATTCACCAAAATATTATATTGCTCTTGTAGTCTGTGATAATTAATGATGTTTGTTTCGATAGGCCAAGGAATAGAATATGCTACGCTGTAAGAAAAGAAACAAAAGCAGATGGTGACCATCAAACTATATAGTAATACTACAAGAAGGCAGTGTGGCTAGACTACCTTTCCTTTTCGGTTCACTGTCTTTAGATTTGACAGGATTACAGAATCATGAGCATATGAGATATGCGTTTATAAAGCTTAAACAAATGGATTCTTTAACTACAGCCTCTAGTAAGCTTCAAGCACACTAATTGAATAGCCATACCAGACGATAGTGACGGAGTTTGTGATGTGGGCTCTTTTCTTGTAGCTTGAGTTGCGTTGCCATTATTTGAAAAGAATCGTTCATAATTAGCAAGAAGATCTTCCAGTCTTGTTGAAAAAGCAGTCAAGATCAACATCATTGTCTATGGAAAGTAATCTACCTAGCCTATATGATTGGTTTAGGAAGAACAGAATCTCCAGGGCAGAGCACCTTATCATCGCTTTAAAGCAACCATGCATCTCTTTCTTACAGAATAATCATGTTTAGCTTTAAGAACCTTTATAAATTCCTGCAATCAATCATTCAAATGAGCATCAGCCAACAACTAACCTTCAACTTATCACTTTCTTTCCGTCTCTTTTGTTTTCCTCTTGAAATTAATTACTTCATCCTCGATATTGGGTCAGGATTGGGTAATCTGCATCCTGAGGTTTGGATCACCACATGTTTTGATCTAGTCCTTGGGCTGCAGATTACCTCTTCCTCACTGACAATGTAGAGCTTTCAGTTCGCACCTGGGCAACTCAAAGTTACTTGAGGTGGCTACTGGCTGCACTAAAACCATGCTCTTGCTCTTCAGGTCATTTCTTTCTGAACTCTCCTTTTTCTTGTCAATAACAACTGATGAAAAAATTTCTTTGCTTTAGTTGGATGCGATCCCCAGAGATATACGTTCTATCGGCATGTATTAGTTTAAAACTTCAAATGCATCTTTCGTTTGGTAGGCATGTCAAACAACTTAGAGCTAGCTGCCAAATGCACTTACATTTCTTCTCCACTTCTAACTCTAGGTCTTTGATCCTGTTGGCAAACTACACATTTTACTTATGGTTCCACTCTCTTAAGATAGTTCAGGTATGGCCATACTGGAAAATAATGATTTCACAGCCACTCCTGAAACTGAGGTCTGTTTTCTAATGCCCTGGCAAAGAAGCATAGGAGAAAAAGGAGCGAGTTCTCTATAATTTAGATTTCTGGTTCTTGCGAAATTGAACATTCCTGTCATATTCCAAGTTCCTGTCTAGAAGTTTTCAACCTCTTGAAGCAGATGGAGGTTTTCTGTACGACATGGCAAGAAACTATATGAATCTAGGTGTCACTTTTCTGGAATTGCTGCAGTACTCCAATAGCTTCCTCCTTGCTTTCACTGAAGTCCCTGCCATCTTTGAAGATTAAAAACTCCACCATCTCTACCCGGAAGAAAATGAAACTTCCACCTAAGTGTGTAATGCAACAGCCGAAGTCCTTTCCAACCACACAGTGCCATGCTGGTCCATAAACATCATCAAATTTCTGTTTAGCAGTTACAAATGTTGTTAGCTTGAACATTGCAACAATAGCTTCATTAAGAAAAATCTTCAACACCATCATTACATCGATGCTGGTTAATCATGTTAATAGATAGTGGGATAAATAACACTTCCACTGTGAACTAGTGGCGTTCGGAGAGGTAATTCAGACGTGAGAACCATTAATCCGTGGTGGTGCACCATGACTGTTGTCTGTGATTTTTTGAGAAAGAAAAAACGTGTGAGAGAGAGAGAGCGTGAAAACCTCTTTTTTTCATGCCCCACTTGGTAGTTGGCATATCCAAATTCAATACATCAAATTGAGCATTATTCGCCTAGTAGCTTATTCCAAGTTTTATTCTTAAGAAAAGAAGTTAAAGGCTGGGTATTTTAGTGACAAGACTTTGCTAAAATGAGAAAGATTGATGGATTAGATCCATTTTGGGTCCCTCTAAAGATGATTGCTCTCAGTATTAAAACCTAAAAACACGTATTGCATTGAATATGGGAACTTGTATAGGTCTTGATTTTCCGTACCAAGGAATGGCAGACCACTTCCTGCATTCCCATAATATGCAAATTCTCCCCGCTGAGTATGTAACATGAACTTGTTCAGAATACCTCTTTAGAAAGGTAAAAAAAAAAAAAAAAAAAAAAAAAAAAAACTAATTGAAAATCATGAGAAAATAACCAGTTTGAAATAAAGAACATAGGAACATCAAGAAATCTTCCCTCTTTTTTTTCTTTGATTTTTTTTAACAGATGTGGATTTTCTGCAACTGTGCCCATTTCTGCATAAATTGGAGAGAGAGAGAGAGAGAGAACTGCTAAGTTTTCTGTGATGCAAAAGCATCAGTTTATTTATTTCCTCCCTATATCAATTATTCTTATGGCAGCAAGCAGAGCCTTCACAATCTTATATTGCTATGTTGCTTTTTGGAAAAGAAAGATACCTTTCTAATCATGCTTGCTTCCAGGGCATAACACGCTAACCCACCAAACAGTATCTTATCACTTTAAGTGTCTGATATGTTTGTTGCCAAGAATAAGTACCAAGGTACAATATTTTTCACAAAAGATAAAAAGAAAAAGAAAAAGAAAAGGATTTCTTTAATCTTTCTGATTGAAGTGTCAATCAGACAGACTACATGTATAAGATAAGATTTTTAAGGAATAAAGCAGACCTGTTTGATGTAATGAGCAATGGATTGACAATCAGAGACCTCATGTAGATCAAGAGCCTGATAAGCTAATTCCATGGCATGGCTCTGCATCTGCTCTGGCATGTCTGTCTCACGCAGTACAGCTTTTCCCTCCAACATCTTAACCAGTGACCAAAACCTAAAGTAGCTACTAGCGAGATTAGTTGATGCTTATTAAAAGCCTTTTTTATGAACTTATATACTACTACAAAATAGAACAGACTTGCTTAGAAATGCAGACTAATAATCTTGAGGTCCAGCTTCGAAGCTGCGTGATGATATTTTTTTTCTGCAGAATTACTGAGAACAATTTTCACCTTTTGTATTCCTAGAAGCTGTCAAAATCAGAACAGTTGTAACATAAATATCTTATCTTAAGGGCGTGAATAGTTTCTTATTAGTAATCTGACCCAGTATTTTGCTGCAATCGAAGGACCTGCGAGACATTTCAGCTGGAATATTGAGTGGCTTTCAAGTTTTGGTTCTAATAACAGCCATGTTGCTTGATACATCACAAGCTGTGATAGATGACTAAAAAACAGTGCAGAAGAAATTGCAACCACAGGTGATTCTTACAGAACCTAAATTTGATTCTCTGTCTGTATAAGCTGTCAGCAATTGTCATAACAAAATAGTTAGGACAAAGAGGTCACTTTGAGACTTTGAAAGGCCAGGAAGATTCGAATATGAGATTTTGTGGATGGTAGTCTCCCCAGTCCTACGCCATTCATTAAGCCACTACAACGAGGCGTGCATGTTGCTTTATAGAATTTCTTCAGAACTGCGTAGTGTCCCAACAGAGACCAAGTGTTACTCTGGTTCCTGTAACTTCATTTTTTTTTCCTGAATAAAAAGCTTGCTGTATTTATTTTCTTTATTCATTAATTCATTAAAAAATTATTGAAACTTTCTCAAATCAGATGCACAGGAATTTTGAAGCACGCCACTTTTAAATTTTAGAAACCTTCAGCTTCAACAGTAATGAATCATAAACATTGACATAGATCAAAGCACACATCTACAGATACAAAACTTGGATTCAATTTAGAACACTCTTGAAAAGTGAAATGGTACACAAATCAGTGTCTTAATGATCCTTATATCGATCAGAGTTAGCCCTAAGAACCTGATCAATGAACAATTTGAATAATCCCCAGGCATGGAACAACCTCAATATAATCTAGCCCTCTATATTACAACTATTAAATGTAATTAGCCATCTCTTTTATCAAGATCCCCTTCCTAATCCTCAAAATTCTTGATAAAGAATCCCTCAATCAAGAAAACGCCATGCTTTCTTTCATGCCGCTCTTCCTCATAAAGAAAGAAAAAAAGGCATTCTAAATGTCAAGATTTACAAGTACAATTTATCAAGGCACATAAATTACCTAGGCCCAAGATTATCAAGACCTCATCAAGAACACACTTATTTCTTGACCAGGACAGTCACCTGGGTTAATCAAATGAAACGATTCTGGATCAGCTCTACCAACCATATGCTCATAATTAGCCCTCATATACATGATCTCCTCCGAATCCGAAGATGACCCCAACCTGGCCGGAATAACACCCGCACCAACCGTCATTGACTGCACTGTCTTCAACATCAAACGAATCTGCTAACTTGCCTTTCTCCTTAAAGCAAAACCTGCTTTCTTCCCATTGCAATTCACTTTCCAGACTGGGACTGCTCGTAGTGGGACAGAGTTCAACTCAGATCAATTGCACTCAAGAGCGAGGCGGACCAGCCCACATTGCATTTCTTTGACGAGTTGGTGGGTGGGGATTGAGAGTTCAAGAAGGAGAAGAGGTATAGTGGAGAGATGGTCATGTTGGATGCAGAACCAAACGTGGCCTCTGCGGTTGCCGAAAATGGTACCGATCACCATTGTTTTTGAAGGGCGTGGGGGGGCTAGTGTGATTATGGGGCTGGGTGTCGATTGTTGGGAGCTGGATTCTTGGTCTTCTTGGTTTTGAGGTTCTTGATTGGTGGCGATGGGATCATCAAGATCATCATCATCGCGAAGGGAGGTGCTAAGGCGTTTCTTGGTGGTGGTTGTGGTGCTGGTAGTGGGAGGAGAGAAACAAGGGAGGAGGAATCGACGGAGGGCGTCAATCTTGGTCATCTTTGTTTTTGGCTACCTGAACAAAAGAAGAAACGGGTTGGTTTTTTCTTGGTAAAGAAAGGAATGGAGGGAAGAGGAATTAGAGAAATTGAGAGCAAATTGGTACGGTGTGGTATTCTGAAGAGTCGCATGGGATCATGTGATGCAGATACATAAATAGAGGGAGAGAGACAGGTAGAGGCGGGCGGGAAGAAGATATAACCATTGAGATTTGTGTTAGGAATTTCATAAATCAAACACGTATAAATTTACATAGTTTACTAACTTGATTATTCGATGATGAAGCTGTTGATTTATATTAATCAATTAAAAAAATAATATAAAAAAACATTTTACTCTTTAGTTAACTTGCTCAAGCTCAGGTTCTTTTTATTTTTTTTTGCTATTTTTACATTAGTTAGCTCTTTATTAAGTCTATTTATAGACTAAACTAGAAGTAGGTGACTTGATTTATACCACTATTTATACCTTAAATTAAGCATTCAGTTCAGTTTGTACTAAGTGGAAAATTAGTTATTCTTGCTAGCATACAGTGGAAGTTAGGCATTATTTGTCTCTATTTTACTAACAATTTCCCACGTGAAGACAAATAATAAAATTATTTTTTATCTTTGAAGATCAATTAAAGTTTTACACAAATTCAGCTTATCAAATATAACTCTTTTAGTTAATATGTCAATTGGATTCTTACTTTCACAGACCTTTTCTAATATTAGTTGCTCATCGTCTAACAATTGTCGGATGAAGTGATATTTGATCTGTATGTGCTTAGTCTTGGAGTGAAATGCTGGATTCTTAGTAAGGAAAATTGCACTCTGACTGTTTATAGAGTACCATTTCTATTTATCTTGCCTATTTTTTTTAGGAAACTCTGTAATCATACTATCACTTTTATAGATTCTGAGACTGCAATATATTCAGTTTCTATTGTTGAAAGAGCGATGATCTTTTGTAAGGTAGAAGTCTAGAAAACAACAGTGCCTCCTCGAGTATATACATATCATGTAGTACTTTTTCTGCTATCAATATCTCCTGCTAGATCAGCATCTACAAACCCTTCAAGTTTCAAACCACCAGCCGTGAAGGTAAAGACAAGTCTCTAAGGAACCTTTTAAGTATCTCATGATCCATTTTATTACCTCCCAATACTGCTTTCTAGGATTGCTCATATATCGGCTTACAACTCCTATTGCATGGGCAATGTTTGGTCTAGTACAGACCATAACATACATCAAAGAGCCGATAGCTGAGGCGTATAGAATTTTATCCATATATCCACATTCTAACTTAGTTTTTGGTGACTATTATTTGCTGAGTTTAAAACGATTCCCCATAAATATGTTTATTGGTTTAGTATTATCCATATTAAACCTGCTAAGAACTTTATTGACATATTCTATTTGTGAAAACTTTAGTATGCCATTGTCTTTATCTCTGATGATTCCTATGTTAACTATTTGTTTAGCAGCTCCCAAATCTTTCATTTCAAACTGTTTTAACAATTATTGTTTTAACTTGTTAATCTCCTCAATGTTAGATCCTGTAATCAACATATCATCTATATATAATAATAGAATGATGTAAGAGTTGTTAAAATATTTGACATAACAACAATGATCAGCTTGACACCTTGTGTACCCCGAACTACTCATGAAGTTGTCAAATTTTTTGTACCACTGTCTTGAAGCTTGCTTTAAACTGTATGGACTTTTCTTTAGCTCACAGACTTGGTTCTCCTTTTCTTATATTGCATACCCTTTTGGTTGTTGCATATAAATGTCTTCCTCCAAGTTACTATGAAGAAATGTTATTTTTACATCTAGTTGTTTAAGATGTAAATTTTCTGTAGTTACTATTCCTAGAATAATTCTAATTGTTATGAGCTTTACAACTGGAGAAAAAATATATCAGAGTAGTCAATTTTTTTCTTTTGTTGAAACCTTTTTTACAACAAGTCTAGCCTTGAACCACTTGCTTCCATCATGCTTAATTTTAACTTTATAAACCCACTTGTTTTGTAAAGTTTTCTTTCCTTTAGGTAATGTGGTTAGCTCCCAAGTTTTGTTCTTCAAAAAAGAATCCATCTCATCCTTCACGGCTAACTCTCATTTGCTTGAGTTTTCATCTTGCAATGATTTTTTATATGTTTGCGGTTCACCACCATCTGTCAGTAAAATATAATTCAGTAGAAGTGTGAACCATTGTGGGGCCTTTACAATCCTTAAAGACCTGCGAACATAAACAATAGGTTTACTTAGCTCCGTATCTTCCTGTATAGTAGTGGGTATAAATGTGCTTGAATGTTCTTATAAAGGCTCTTGATTTTTATTATACTTGGTAACATCAGGAAACCCTTCTAGTCTTATAAATTTAGATTTTTGTATACTTGTATTTGAATCAGCCATATTTGTTTCTATACTTGATCTGCCTTTGTACAAAATTTTCATATTGAAGATCACGTTTCTAGTTCTGATAATCTTTTTATTCTGATCATCCCAAAACTGAAATTCAAATCCTTCATCTCCATAACCAATAAAGAAATATTTTTTGGATTTGATATCTAGCTTGTTGTGAGTATAATAATCTATATGAACATAGAAAACACACCTAAAGACATTTAGATGAGAGAGTTGTTCCTCGTTGTTCCTCTTTTCCTCTCCATACTTTCTCAGGCAATCTAAATTCTAAAGGAATTGATGGTCCATAGTTGATCGAGTAAATTACAGTATGAACTACATCAACCTAAAATGTTTAAAGTAACCCTGAATACATTAATGGTTCGTTCAACAATGTCATTCTGTTGTTGTGTACCTTGAATGGTTTTTTCCATTCTAATACCATTGACAGCTCAATCTTTTTAAAACCTCCATCAATGTATTCTTTTTCATTATCAAATCTCAAGCATTTCAAGTTCAAACTTGATTCAGTCGCAACCTTAGCCTTCCATTTCTTAAATGTTTCAAACACATCAGATTTATTTTTCAGAAAGTAAACCCATACCTTTCTATTGAAATCATTAATGAAAGTCACATAATACCAAAAACCTCTAAGAGATGCCACTAGAGAAGGTCTCCATAAATCTATGTGTACCAGTTTTAACTTTCTTGGTCTTAAGGTCCTGCCAACCTTTAAAAAACTATGCTTCTTCTGTTTTTCAATAATATAACTTTTATAAATGTCTAGATCAACGTTTGTTTAACTTTAACAGTTATCCCTTCGAGTAAAGTATCTTCATCCCTTTTTGACTCGTATAACCAAGTTTACAATGTCATAGATGTGCCTGATTTTCTACTTCAGTAGAGGTAATAATGTCTGCAAATTTTATGGTCATATACAAGGTACTGGTTTTCTTTCCATAAACCAAAACCATTACTCCCTTCGATATTTTCCACATACCTCCAGAAAAAAGGATTGAATAATCATTATCGTCAAGTTGTCCAATGGAGATCAGTTTCTTCTTTAATCTAGGAACATGTCTTACATTTTATAAATTCCATATAAATCCATTTATTGTCTTGATTTGCACATCTCTTATACCTATAATATCCATTGGTTGTCCATCGGCCAGATAGACCACAACGTGATCTCCAACAACATAGTTTTACATCATTTCATGGTGTGGTGTACAATGAAATGACCATGAAATGAAGCACTAGAATCAAGAATCCAATCATCAATTGGATTTTTTTCAGCAAGAATCAAAACATCTTGTAGCTCATCAATGGTAATATTTGCAGAGTTAGCCTCAAGTTTTTTCGGTTTTGTGCAACTTCTCATCTAATGATCAAGTTTGCCACAATCCCAATATTTAACCTACTTTCTAGGTCCAAACTTGCTTTTACTTCTGTATCTTGATGTTGATTTGTCTCTGGATAAGCCTTTATTTTGTCTCCTTCCTCGAGTGTTGATGTTAAGAGCTGAACTTGAACTTTCACTTGAGTCTTTCTTTGTACTTCTTTAGCCAAAATCAAATCTCAGATGTCATCATATTTTAGTTTGGATTTTCCAGCTAAAATACTCATGCCTGTTCTCGTACCTTCTCAACTACGTAGAAGTGAAGCTAGCAAAATGAGTGCATGAATCTCATCATCAAACTCAATCTCAATAGATTAGGGTGATCATTTTTTATTCGGTTTATTTTTTATCAAAAAAAGTAACCAAACTGATTTAAAAAAAAAACCAAAACCGAATCGAAACTAGTTCAAACTGACAGGTTTCATTTCGGTTTTTAAAAGACAAAAATTGATTCAAACTGGTTTGGCTCGATCTTTCTAGTTTTGCTTGGTTTTTTCATGTTTTGGCTTAATTTTTCCGGTTTTGGCTTTGTTTTTTTGGTTTGGCTTGGTTTTGGCTCAGTCTGCCTCAATTTGGCTTGGTTTTTTTCTGATTTTTTTCATTTAGGTTCGGTTCGATTTGTTTTTTTGGTTTTGTGCTTATAAAACCAAAATCAAACCGAACCAACTGGTTTTTAAAAATTTTAATTGGTTTAATAGGTTTTTTCGGTTCGGTTTTTTCAGTTATTTTTTTTGTTTTCTCTATTTAATCAGTTTCTTAGTTTTTTTGCTCACCCCTACAACAGATGATAATTGATTTGTGATGGTATTAAACTTGTTGAGGTGTTATGTAACAAGGGTGTCTTCTGTCATCTTCAAGTTGAACAACTTTTTAATCAAGTGCACTTTGTTATTTGCTGATGGCTTCTCATACATCCCAAACAAGGTTTTCATTAATCTTGCAGTGGATTTTTCTTTTGTAACGTTATGAGCAACTCTTCTTAACAAGGATAGCTGAATAATGCCCAAAACTTGTCTATCAAGAATTAGCCAATCTTTGTTTTGCATATTCTCTGGTTTGCCACCCAACAGAGGAAGATAAAGTTTCTTCTCATATAGATAGTCTTTAATTTGTATTTTTTAATATCCAAAATCTGTCCCATCAATTTTTTCAATTCCAGTAGCCTTTATTTCATCTACCATTTTTTCTAATTTTAGAGTTTGAATTTGCTGAATCTAACTTCATGGTTGTGTATGGAATGGCTGGAAATGCTGGAAATGACTTTAAAATCACCCAAATCAGACTTTAGATGACTCAGATCTAATCAATCAAACTTTTAGATCAAT